GGGGGGGGGGGGGGCACTCGTGTCGGGACCAAAGCCACGGCTCTAGCCGACCGTTCCAGCCACACAACCAAAGTGAAGTTAACTATTGTCACCCCGCCCAACCTTGCACCTATATCTTTGCAGCTTTAGGCTGAACACAACAATTCAATTTACGGTTTTGTTTTAGGAAAAACATCACTGCTCTTCCCTTCCGAGAGAAGAACTTAAAATTGGTTTTATCTGCCGCTAACGGTTTTTCAGTTGCTAATCTCTCTGTTCTGATGTCCAGCCTGGTGTATAAGGACCTTGTCTGCTATAAACACATTAAGCACTTACCAATGAGCACTTATAAGGATGATACAAAGACGAAGGAATGGCTTCTCCAAATTTTACAGTCTGGGGGAAGTGAAGCAAGGACAAAAATAACAGAATATGCCCTGGGTTGAGTTCACCCAGGTGGGGAAGTCTGGGCTTTGGGAACAGAATTTGGGGGAAAGGCATTCGAAGCCCACCATACATAGAACTTGGGCCCCATGACTAATAAATGTTTGGCTCAAACCCCATAAAAAGCACCTCCCAACTCTTCTGAGATGTCCAGTTCCTCACCATGCCCAAGGTCCCTTCAACCCAATTTTGTCTTTGTAGAACAGTTGCTATATTTATGTCATGTAGTCTTAATAAGAACACTGTGAGGTGGAAATTATCCTCATTCTATAGATGAGGAAAGGGGTGAAGTGAGTTCTCGAATGTAAAAAAAAAAAATAAGAGGCAGAGCTGGGACTTTAAAGTCAGATTTCAGGTTTAGGTTCTTTCTATGGCACAGAAACTGTCAGTGCCAATAAAACTGGACCCCAGTCTCCTATTAAATTAGTGTTATTTTTAAAGCCTGATTTATAGAAACATTTTAAATACCCCACTATTAAAATGATAGAAGAAAGTTAGGTTATTACACATAAATCACAATTTATCCTTTATGTAATTGTATAATACATATTTATATAGTTCTGGTTGGTGGTAGATACTAATTAAATACACTTCTGCCCAACTAAATGTAAAACACTGGTTAAATATGCATAGAAATCTCTAGGTTGTATAAAAAAATTACTAAGAGAACATTGTATATTTAAACTCTCCTAAGTATAGAAAACTAGGGAAGGAAGACTAGCCTCTCTCTCCTCCCATGATCCTAAATAAAATCAGTCAGGGAATCTCCACATATAGTATAACTGGAAAAGAGAGTAACGGCTGGGTTAAAACCTATATAAACAGCTACATCCTTCCTGGAAGAGCACAATGTAACTAGATCCTGTAAGAGATAACACCAAGGGATTGTCAAAATTCTGTCACACTGGAATTTCCTTCTATTGACTGGTCTTCAAATAAGTAACAAAGATTGGGATTCATGTGTTAGCATAGCAATGACTATAGATGTAGTCTTTTTTCTGTCTTTTTCATAAATATATTTTATAGGTAGAATTTCATATATACATAATTTTATTTGTTGTATTATTTCATACTGTTGTTTTTGTGCCAAAGCATGACAAAAGGTAAACATTATCGCTTTCCTTCCACCTACCAAGACGTGATCAGATGTTCCATAACAAAAGGGACAGTGCCAATTTGGTGTACACTGAAATATAAATTTTACTTAATAAGTAAGCCTGGAGCAATTGTGTGTTGGAGAGGGGTGCTGTTGAGCCTCCTCAGATATGCTTGAACATTTTTTTATTCTGTCCTTCCCTTCCCAAAGCTGCCAAAGTAAAGAGTGCAAGCCCCAGCATTCCCCTAGGAGAATTCCTAGCAGTAAAAGACACTAACATTGTAAGGTGTGAAAAGAGCAGAAGTTTGGAAGCAATTCTGAATCCATACTCTAGCTCTACACTTACTTACTAGTTGTTCAAGTTACATAGCATCTCAAAGCTTCAGTTTTCTTTTCTGTAAAATGAGGATCAATAATGGAAATAAGGTAATATGTAAAGCACCAACATTGTATCTGACACATAGGAGGTGCTTAATAAATGATTGCTATGGTTATATAAAAGAAGAAACCATGCTGGGTTTGGTTATAGTTGCCTTGGATTTATAAATTTGAGGCTCCCATGATAGTCTTAAGCGAAGATGAACTGCCTATGAAGTAGAGGAAGTGAGCATCATAATTTTTGGTTTTCCATACCAAAAGCATATATTGAAGCTATACTGATACTGTCCCAGGACCAAACTGGAATTACAATTAAAATATAGAAAAACCAGCCTGAATAATCAACTGAAGATTAGCTGGAGAGCACCCTCATAACCAAGGATGTAAACTGGAGACCACATAGAGACTGGTAGGAAGGGTGGAGGTGCAAGAGAGCTGGCTGGGCTCCCACAGGCAGCAGCTGCAAGTCCAGAGGGATATCTCAGCTGTGGGGGGGGTTCCCACTGAGAACTCTGGGGTCTAAACCCCAAGCTGGGCTACTCAGCACAGACCACCAGAACTAAAAAAGGTGCACACATAACATATGGATGTGAAAAGTGGCAGGGTTTCTGTCTGTCAGGGAGAGACAGGTGGAAATTCAGGCACCCTTTTAAAGAGGCACCGCACAAAGTTTTCTGTGCAGCCACTCACCTTGGGCTCCAGTGGAGGCAGAGCCCTGTGGACTAAAGCTGTGTGAGAAGAATCCAGGGCTGCTGACTTTGGGGATAGAGCTCAGAGGGCACCAATCTGGATTCTTCTGCTGAGTCATGCCCCCATACTTGCAGAGGACATCTTTCTCAGGCAGACTTTTACAAACCAGGTAGCTTT